AGAAATTAATTCAATTGAGATGAAGAAAACAGTTCAAAGAATTAATGAATCAAAAAGCTGGTTTTTTGAAAGATTAAATAAAACTGATAAGCCCCTAGCTAATCTCATCAAAAAGAGGAAAGAAAAAATTCAAATGCAAGCAATAAGGAATGAAAAGGGTGTAACTACCACAGATCCAGTGGAAATTCAGAAGACTGTCAATAGCTACTTTGAGAACCTTTACTCTCACACAATATAAGACACAGAAGAAATGGAGAGATTCCTAGAAAGGTACAGATTACCTAAACTGAATCAAGAAAATATAACAACTCTCAATAACACAATAACAGCTAATGAAATATGAAATGTAATTTTTTTAAAAAAACCTACCAACAAAGAAAAGTCCAGGTCCTGATGGATTCACAGTTGAATTCTACAAGAAATTTATGGAAGACATAAACCTTACGCTCCTCAAACTCTTCAATGAAACTGAAAAGGAAGCCATCCTCCCAAAATCATTCCTGGAGTTAAGTATTATACTGATACTCAAACCAGGGAAAGACCCCACTAAAAAAGAGAACTACAGGCTAATTTCCCTCATGAACATAGATGCAAAAATCCTCAATAAAATCCCAGCAAATAGAATACAGCAAATCATCAAGAAGATCATATACCAAGACCAGGTAGGATTCATCCCTAGGATGTAAGCATGGTTCAAAATATGCAAATCTATAAATGTAATACACTATATCAATAGAGCCAAACTAAAAACCACATGATCATCTCAATTGATGCAGAAAAGGCTTCTGACAAAGTCTAACACTCATTCATGTTCAAAGTCTTACAGAAAGTTGGAACAGATGGCCTCTACTTCAATGTGATAAAAACCATTTATGACAACCCAATGGCTAATATAATTCTCAATGGGGAAAAATTGAAATCTTTTACTCTCAGATCTGGTACAAGACAAGGATGTCCTCTATCACCCCTCCAATTCAATACAGCTCTGGAATCATTAGCTAGAGCCATTAGACAAGAGAGAGAAATAAAAGGAATAAGAATAGGTAATTATTTGCAGATGACAAGATACTTTACTTGGAAGACCCAAAAAACTCCACCAAGAAGCTACTAGAATTGATACACAAATTCAGTAGCATAGCAGGATACAAAGTCAATACCCAAAAGTCAATAGCATTCCTCTACACAGATAAAAAACA